TTTTATTTGCTTTTTCTTTTGTTTCTTTTCTTTTTTGTGTTCTGTTTTTCTTTGTTGTCTGTATAGTTTTATTTTGGATTCAATGTTTGTAATTTTTGTTGTTATTTTGCACTGAAAATAAAATTTATAAAAGAAAGGAAAAAAAGAAAGGAGATTTCTAGCTAAACATTAGGAAGAACCTTCTGGTGGCAAGAGCAGTTCATCAGTGGAACAGACTCCCTCAGGTGTTGGACTCTCCTTCATTGGAGGTTTTTGGACAGAGGTTGGATTGCCGTCTGCCATGCAGAAAGTGTTCCATGAATGCCAGTCCCCAAGAGGCAAGAGACTCCAGGGTTCCAGCAATTACCCGGGGTCCGATTTTCTTGGCATGAAGGCGAATGGATACTGTAGTGTCTTGAGGATATATAGTACGTAAATGCAACCTGGAGCCTAGGACGGACTCACAGCACTGTCTCCAACAGATCTTGCCTCTCTATTAGACTCCCTGGGAGATCCACAAGCCATTGCATTGCGTCCAACACACAGCAAGGACTTTCTTTTTTTTTTAATATTTTTTATTGAGTTTCTTTTCTTAAGGTCATAGACACAAAATTTGGGTAAGAAATTACAAGAAACAAATACAAAACCAAAATAATAAAAAGGTCATTACAATCCAATTTTCAGTAGTTTTTTCAATATTCCAAATGGACTTCCCCACATCCTCCCGACTCTGCGTTCTTTGTAATAAAAGTTTCAGCAATTTGTTACCTTGTTTCTTAACTTACTGTATCTTTCAGTTATTATGTTTCTAAATTCACAATATTATATCCCGACTTTGTACATTTAAAATTAACATAATAAAGTTATTTCATATTACCACCTCTTTTTTCTTGTCTTAATTTTCAGTTTACCTAATCAAGTTGCTAAAGCAAAAAAAAATTCATAATCGTGCGTATTTTTTAACATTCATACAACTTATAGTGTTTTTGCAAATAGTCCTTAAATTTTTTCCAATCCTCTTCCATTGTTTCCTCGCCCAAATCTCGGATTCTGCCAGTCATTTCAGCCAGTTCCATGTAGCACACAGCAAGGACTTTCTAGGGAGGTGGCAAACTCTCCTTCCTTAGAGGTTTTTAAGCAAAGGTTGGATGGCTGTCTGCCATGGATGCTTTAGCTGAGATTCCTGCATTGCAGCAGGTTGGACTAGATGACCCTTGGGGTCCCTTCCAACTCTACAATTCTTTGTTTTTATATAGAGATATTACAATAACTTGCTTATTTACTTATTTTATTTCTACGTTTATATCCCACCTTTTCTTCAACTCAAGGAACTCACTTTGGAACTTCCTGCCAATTGATGTTTTGTGCCACTGGGGAAATGGTAATTCTGTATTGATTTGTTTTGGATGTTTGGATGTGATGCCGATAAAAGGTATGATGATGATGATGATGATGATGATGATGATGATATCAGACAGTCACCATGACTCCACACTTTTGAACACCTGCTGGAAACACTATTGTTTAGGCCGGCTTATCCAGACATGTAATATAATCTGATTTTTACCTTAATTGTTTATTTTAATGATATTTTAAAGCAGTGTACACGTTTTATGAGATGCATAAATATATAAATGAGCCATGTTTTTCAGAGCCTGGATCAAGCATATGCTGTTAGCAGACTGGCCTCGTGCAATAGTTCTCAGAAGAATATCCTTCACATTCTGAAGAAAGACTTTTTCTTATATTGACAGCACAGCAGATTCTGGTGGCCGGGATAACTATCTGGGAGAAATTTAATAGAGGCATCGTATAAAATCCCCTTCGGGATCTAGTGTCCAAGGAGTTGCCAAGAAACACCATTCTGGGTATATCAAATATTATGGTCTCGGGGGCAGCGACTTAAGCAACACCATATGAAATTGCGTCTGGGAATCGAGGGGCATTTTATTCGGGAAAGACAATAAAAATCCACCTGCCAAAAGATTTACGGGGAAATGCCAGCCAGTGTCGAGTGAAACTGGGTACTGCCTGCTGTGTCTGCCTGGTCTCAACTCCTTGCAAAAAGGAGGAATGTCTCCCCCACTGGTGCCAAAGCAGAAACTGATCTGGGAGACGGGAGCTCGAAGCTGGGGAGGATAAATTGTCACTGGTGTCAAGGGGCGGTGGTTGGTATTTGGTTCTCCAGCAAGCACTGTCATCATCCTAAACCCCCAAATCAAAGAACATTCAGCACAGCCTTCATTGCAACATCCAGCTATACCAGGGGTCAGCAACCTTTTTCAGCAGGGGGCCGGTCCACCGTCCCTCAGACCATGTGGGGGCCTGGACTATGTTTTGAAAAAATAAATAAAAATGAACATATTCCTATGGCCCACAAATAACCCAGAGATGCATTTTAAATAAAAGGACACATTCTACTCACGTATAAACATGCTGATTGCCGGACCGTCCGCAGCCAGATTTAGAAGGCGGTTGGGCCGCATCCGGCCCACGGGCCTTAGGTTGCCTACCCCTAAGCTATACTTACGGAAGCGGCAAGAAGCATATACAGTGGTACCTCGGGTTACAGACGCTTCAGGTTACCGACGCTTCAAGTTACAGACTCCGCTAACCCACAAATAGTACCTCGGGTTAAGAACTTTACCTCAGGATGAGAGCAGAAATTATGAGGTGGCGGCGCGGTGGCAGCTGGAGGCCCCATTAGCTAAAGTGGTGCTTCAGGTTAAGAACAGTTTCAGGTTAAGAACAGTCTCCAGAACGAATTAAGTTCTTAACCCGAGGTACCATTGTAAGAGCTTTTAACAGCCATAGCCATAGCTCCCCCAGTGGGGAGTACTGCCCCCTGGGGGATGGTGGGATTACCTGCTGGGTTGCTGAGAGGCAGGAGGGCAGCAGGGGATGCTAAAGGTGTAACTATCAGACTTTGAAAAGCTAGTATCACAGGATCAGGTTCATCCATTGTTTATACTGGATTCTGAATAAATGTGCAATTGTTAGTGTTTTGAATTTTATTGTGTCTTCTTCCTTATTGGTTGTGCAAACCGCTATGCTGAATAATGCTTTGTAAAGCAGGCACTGGAGAAAAGTTTTTTGGAACCAAGGAGCCTAAAAAGGTTTGAAAAAGACTGCACTGCAGCTACCCTGCCTTCCTTGCCACGCTGACTAGTTTTCAGAGGGTGTCTGGAAACCTCTGATCAAGTCCACTTCTGACACCAATGTTGGGAGCGTTCCCCAAGCCACAGATCTTGATGCACACCGTAACAGTGGGCTGCATATGTAACAGCTGACACAAGGATTGCATTTGCTGACCAGGTGCCTGCCAAGGAGTTGAGCAGCCAAAGGGGAGGTAGCAGGGAGACAATGTGAGTGTCCGTCTGTTTTGGGAGACAATGGAAAAGTGTGCCTTTGGGGTTGAAGGCAAACCATTGGAGAGTTACAGCACCTGCTGTGGATGTGGAGGCCGACATGGGAGAGAAATGGTTTGTTGCAACTGGGGCAGATGAAGGCGTCTGGTTCTGCTGATGTAGTTTCTTCGGATGGATGGATGGATCTACTGTCATCTCTGAAGGACCATGTGCAACTAAGGCTGATGAGGCAGCTGTGAAGTCAAAGTCAAGTCAGGGATATTCTGGGGGCCAGTTTGCACTCTAGCTTCCAGTCTAGGCTACTGCAACATGTTGTACAAAGGGTGACCTTTGAAGACGTCCTGGAAATATTATAGAGGGGCACAAAACACAGCTGCTGGGCTAGTAACTGGGACCAGTTATGGAGGACGTTATCTTGCTCCCACAGGAGATGATGGTGGCTTTAAAAGAGGATTAGACAAATCAATGGAGGAGAGAGCTATCAGTGACTACTAGCCATGATGGCTGTGCTCTGCCTCCACAGTTGCAGACAACAAAGTCTCTGAATACCAGTTGCTGGAAACCACAGGAGGGGAGAAGGATATTGTGGTGGAATCCTGCTTGCGGGTTTCCCACAGGCATCTGGTTGGCCCATGTGAGAACACTGGACTAGATGAGCCATTGGACTGAGCCAACAGACTCTAACGTTCTTTAAAAGGAAGCAAAACTGGCCATCCCACTCCAGTTCCCATTTTCTGCAGCAAACTAGTTAAGTCTCTTCAGCGGGGCAGCTTTTCTAAGAGGACGCTAATTATAGCTTCTGCAGTTCCTTTTCTTCCAATACACATTCCGCTCTGTGTACTGAAGGTAGGAATTTCTGCAAAATTTCTCTGTCCTCGTGTCCTGAATTCGGTGAAACACTGAATCCCCTCCCCCCTCCCAATGTTTTAACGTGTGTCACAGCTGGCTGTGTTATATGGTTGCTCTGTCACGTTTGTGATGAAGTACTTCTTGCTTAATATCATACTGCACTCTGAAAATCAAGTCAGCTGTTGACCATCACAAGCTGTAACAAGCACTGGTTTTTGGCAGGGGGAGAAGGTCCAGTGCTTTTAATATTGCAATGTGGGCCTTGCTGAACTCGCCTCAGGCAATGAAGCGAAACTTGTCCCAAGTTGAGTTTCATTCCAGAGGTCCCTGTTCTTGCTGAAGGAACACGGTAAGCTGCCAGAGCCCATGAGAACAGCCAGAGTTGGCAATTTTATTGACAGATTTGATTTCTGTCTGGTTCTCCCTCCCAAAGCAGCCCAAGCCAACAAGGTTCTAATGATCACGTATGGGTTTTGTGGCCATTTAATCTGCTTTCAGTGGTGGCTTAAGGTGAACCCCCTCACACATTTATGGTCTCATGGCCATGCCCTCTGCTGTTGTTTTGGAGTCACCCACTCTGCCACCCACAAGTTCAGTGTGAAAGGTCCCTCACCACATGCATGAAAGGTGTTCTTGTGGATATTTGTAGTATCAGCAGTGTGTGAGTGCATTTAATAGATTCTTCTGTATGATTATTTCAACAAAATGGTCTCTACAAGATTTAGGTCAGAAAGCCTGGCGTCTGAGAAACAGGTTCCGTCAAATTATTTTATTCTGTTAAATCAATCCAAGCATTGCAACTTGTCCAGTAAGGAAATGTTTTAATAATCAGAGATGAGAGGTGGCAAGGCTCACTGTTTACTTCCAACCGTTCCAGTTAAAATCACAGACTCCTTTAAAACATATTTTTAAAATGTATCATTACACAAAAACCATTATCGCCAAGAAATATAAAACACAGAGGACAAGAGGAATGGCGGAAGACCTTTGAGATAAGAGCTCCCGCAGAGTCCCTAACTCACCATTTCATCCTAATGAAGAAAAACTCAAAATGCCCCACACTCATTACCCTGAATCCTAAACCAAGTCCCACTGATTTTGGAGAAACTTGGAATAAACATCAGGAAGAACAGTCAGACAGGAAGAACTATTCAATGGTGGAATGGTCTCCCTCAAGAGGTGGTAGACTCTCCTTCCTTGTTAAAGCAGAGGTTGAATGGTCACCTGTCATGGATGATTCAGCTGAGATTCGTGCCCTGCAAGGGGATTGAAATAGATGACCCTCATGATCCCTTTCCAACCCTATTTTTCTATCATTCTTCCAATTCTATGATTCTATTTCTGGTGTTCAAATAAAGAGGTGAAAGAGGAAGCGTGAGTTGTGCTTCTCCCCACACTGCTAGGTCTGGCCCAAAGTGATGGATGTGCATTCATCTGATGAGGGGACTTAGTATCCCTTGCCTTCTTAAAAGACCAGGAAGCCTACAGAGAAGAAGCCGCAACACTCTTGTGCCTCCCCTCTCTCCGCTTCCTGCAAACATCCATGGCAACTTCCTTCCTTCTGTGTTTGAATCTGACCTCCAAGTTACAGATCCTTATACATGAATCATGTGGACAGCATTTTGGTTGAGCCGGGGGGGGGGGGGGAGAGATCGGCTTCTGTTTTTTAGTTTGCTTCTCAGAAGAAGGGAGAAGGAGGTTCACACTTTGTGCATATTACTGTGGAACGAGTCCTTTAAAGTAATCTCCAGAAAAGTGTGAACCGTCTCCTTCTCCCTTGACCAGTGCTTTGGACATGAGAACCTGAGGGATGGTAGTTTTGCAGTGAAGAGTAACGCCGCCACCTCCTCCTCTTCCAGGAATGCTATTCCTTCAGTCAAAACATAATGACCCATGAAATGCCAGTTTTCACTGTGAAAAAGAAAAATCTCAAGCCTCGTGAAAATTTGGCACAGCCTCATGAACAGCTCCTAGTGGTGAATGAGATCATCAGGTCCTGCTGGTTTGTCTTCTGAGGGTTACAAAGGGACAGTCAATTTTCGTAACACAATTCTGCTTAAGTAAAACTGGGGGGAAACATTCTGTTACGAGGCAATTTCAATCTGACAGAGGATTTCAAGCCCGTACAGAGACAGAGGTGGTTCAGTGGTCTGAGCCAAACTGTACCACTTTGGATGCCATGGCACAATTACAGTAAGTTTGGTTGTGAACCAAGGTGTATAAAAAGATCTCAGCTGAAATAGAAAAACATGTTATAGACCCGTAAACCAAAATGCCCAGTAAGGTGTTCAAACTAATGAGATAGAGACCTAGATATGGTCCAAAAATCTGACTACCATATTCTGATGGGTGAATCTCTCCCTTGCTGTCCATGTACCTCCAAGGCTTGACACTCAGCCTGGTTGTTGAGCTGCCTTCCTCCTTCCGCCCTCTTTGCTGCCAAGTTAGCTCCACCACGAAGCTCAGAACCACGGCGGGCATTCAAGACGCCTGGGCACGCACTGGATATCATGGTATCACAAATGCTTCCCTGGAACCATCCTCAAAGTCTTTCGATCAAACCATCTCCATCTGCTCTGGGGCCTCCTTCCTTGATCTTCCCATGTTGTCCTGGAGAAGAAGCAAGGGCCAAGCACTCTGCTCTTGGTAACATCAGGCCCCTCGTACTCTGGAGAGCAGGAAGTGCGAGCTTCTGGTGGCTTGTCATCCACTGCATGACACCAGAGACTTGAGGCCTCTGGGCACAGGCTGCCCATACAAGGAGGAAGACCAAGTTTCACACACAAAGGTCTGGATGGTTTGATACTTTGGGGCAGGAAATAGTGTCAATCTAGCTCCAACTACATGGTTGCTTCCTGCTCTAAGCCCTATAAGTTAAGTTCTTGACCCATACCAGAGCTTTTCTATTCATGGAATTACATGGAATAGTCAAGACAATGGGACTACTGTTGGTTGTGGAGACAACTTTCACTTCCAAGGGGTTTCTCTTCTTTTGGGGTTGTCTTTTTGTTATATTATATGGCATGTGGGTGGCATAATGTCCCTGAGTTCAATGCCTGTACTCTTTCCAGAGTCTTTACCAAATAAACTTTCCGCCACTGTTATCCCGGTCAGGGGATTTGTTAATCATCTCTTGCAAGTATGCAAAAAATGTTTTGAGTAGCCCGGTGTTGACATTTTTGTTCTTCAAAGACACTTCTGACAATCATTCGGCAGCAGTAGCGGTTCACTGTGTTAGTTAATCGTACTTCTCCCCTACCTCAAAGGGAAGCTATGGATTCATTTGGCAACCCTGATATAAAATTTAGTGCATGAGGAAAACCCAACAACATGTAACAAGTATGACCAGTACTCACTTAAAAGGCCAACGTGCAAGTTTATGTGCTACAGCAGAAAATAAACGGAGGCAAATATATTGGTCCATTAAAAAAAATAAAAATCAAACAGCAATGGCAGCATAATACCTTTATTAGTTTTAACTAAAATTAAATAGTTCATGACACAGTGAGTGTGCTTTTTGAGTTCACCAGAAAAATTCATTGGGAACGATGTTAAATTTTAAGAAGAAATAGGAAAAAAGAACTTGCTGGCTTTTTAAAAAACAAAAACAAAAAGCCAAAATCAAGAGTACCTAAAACTGCAGGCTTTTTAATCATATTTTTCTTCCAGTGTTGCGCTTTATAACCAGCTTGAAGGAAAGTTTTCACAAACTCAAAAATACTGCTTGCTCCCTGGGATGTTTTAAAGAGATATTATGCTACTGCTGTTCTTTGGAAATATAATTTCACTGTTATATTGGAAATTGTTCTGTTAGGTAATTTTCATGTGCACAAATACACACACAGCTGGAAAAAACGACAACTCTGCAGCAATTAAAGAAGAATCTGAACAGTATCTCTAATCGTTCTGATGTTTTTCGAAGCACAGACATTTCAGCTTCTGACAAATCAGACGACTCTAAGTACCATGTCTTTTCCATCCAAAGGCTTGGGAGCTCCTTCACTGCAGCCCGCACCCAACTGAACTGATCATAGAAATGGAACCTGGACATCCAAGGTTCCACAGGGATCAGACAGGGAAGGAGGGGCAGTGGATTTCGAGCAATGACCAGCTTGCCCTAAATTTAACATACTTGTAATATGGCTCTTGTATATTGGCTACACTTTTCTTTTTTTTTAAAAAAAGAACAAAATATGTAGAAGCAAACAGCATCAATGTTCTCAAAAAAAAATATCAATCTGTTTTGCTTCACCTTTCAAAACTTTGGGGTTTTGACTCCTTTGGAAGGCCACTGGATTACTGACATAGTACGGAGGCTTACAAAAATCAAGTCAATTCCATATTCAAGGGCACAATCATCTTCTTAAGTCTCTTGTATATAGGTTTTCAATTTTTTTGCTCTTCAAACCATCTAGTATATCTTGTGAGGCTCAGCTCAAAACCTGAAGAACAATACTACATTCCATTCTGTGGTGGTCTTGTCCTTTCTAGTTATTCATACACGTATCTGAAGAACTACATTACTCAGGCCTAAATGCCCACTATATCTTTTTTTAAATCTCTCAGTAGCTTTCGAGGTATGCAATTCGACTTAAGGGAAGAGGCTAGGGGGGGGGGGCTTTTTCAAAGCCAAAGCTGGATATAAACAGTACAGTCATAAATATGCTACTAGACATTGGCTCTTTAAACATTTTCCAGTAACAATTTTTTTTTAAACCACCTATCTGAAACAGAGAAAACATTCCCCACTAAAATCTGACTTTGAAAATAAAATTTATAGAATTCTGACATTATATCTCCAATGTCCCTTTCATTTTCTAAATGTAAAAATATTGTTATTAAGTTATCTACCGGAATGAATTAAAATGAATTGTTTTCAAAATGGTGTTATTTTTTATTTTAAGTACATTCACGTACTTCAGACCCACCCAACCACCCCCGATCTTTTTTGATATATTAATCCATTGATATATAATTCTGTCAAAAATCTACCAGGTTGCGTCAACCAGCCACAGTGATCCAGAGACACTTTCTACTAAGGGAGCGGCAGAATTAAAAGCCGCATCTCGCTACGGTGCTTTAGCAACGTTTTGATTGGTAAGATAACGCAACTCACTGAAACAATACTGAAGTGGAACACAAGCCCTCTTCGGTCTATTTGACTGTTAAAGTTAATTTAACTTCTCAGCACAAACATCAGCCAGACTTCGTCCCAGGCTAACGTCTCACTACCAAGATCGCTCAAGAGGCCTCTCTGGTGGGGCCACTGTATGTCTTGGGTCAAGCGCAGGTACGAAGTCCTTGAAATGCATAGATGCTTCAGTACCAAATACATCCAAAACTTTCCTGTTCATGACAGCAAACCTAGAAAATACAAGGTGAGAGTTTAGCACACGGCATCACTTGGGAGCATAAGGCAACTCTGATTCTGAATGAAACTTGGTTCTGCAATGCATTCACTGCTGAAGTAAGTCATGAAAACTCACGGAATTGTGGCTGCCATTGTTTTATTGAAAATGGAGTCTGAAATTATGGATCTACGAAAAGAAACATGACCAAAACAAATCTATATATATATATCAATATATCTATCTGATAGGCCAAACTAAAAACTCTCCTATACTAGATACTATAAAAGCTTTTGAGTGTTTACAAGAGTTCGACTCCAATGCCTTAAATGGTTCAAATGAACTCCTTTAATGGACTAATCTCTGGTGCCCAGAGAAATTTTGGATATTGTCTCTTCTGAGGACTAACATAGCAAAATCTTTTGCAGACTGAGAATATATTCTCAACAACCCCTTTTTGTGTGGCTCACTATTCTGTCAGTTATAGATTGCAATGTGGTGCACACTAATGGGTCCTGTGTCAAACAAATCCCTTTCTTTCTCCTCTTCTCCAATCTGAAGCTCCTCCTTCTAGCTAAAGGAAGTGTGGCAATGTGATACCTTAGCAAGTGTTAAGTCCAATGCATTAACAATTACAGTGTTCCTGGGTAGCTTGAGATTTCTCCTTCCCTGTTTGCCTTCTGCTCTTTTTATTTATCTCCATTTTTAACTTATGTCTGTGTTCAGATAAGCTACCCACCCTGTCCCTTCCTTTTAATTTAAAACTTGGGGCATTGCACGCAAACTGCATTCTACCCTGATCACTGCAAATCAAAGAGCGAAGCCTGTCAGATATGACATGATTTTCAATTGGTTGCTCTAGCGTTATGGTGTATTTGTGTAAGCAATTGACTGGTTTTTTTTAAAGAAGTCAGAATGGAAATTATCTTCCAGAAGCGCCAATGCAGATGGCCCTTTTAAGTTAGAATAAAGACACAACCACAGACATGTATGCATGTTTACACTCCACATATCACAGGATCTGTGATGGTGTGCAAATGCAAATATCCATTCTTAAACCTGAATTAAGAAACATTGTTGGTAACAGACATGGAAATGAAACCTTGCGATACAAGCAGAAACCAGGGAAATTCAAAGGGAATGGTGCTTTCCTGACCGCAACCATCCTATTTTTTTAATATACAGCCAGTGAGATACTTTGGGGTGGTTGTTCTTTCTGATGGCCTCACTTAGCAGACTATCGATCTTTCTCCCAAGAAAGAGTACCAAACTTCTCACAGAACTGCAATCTGCAACTGCTCTATTAAAATCACTGCTGGTTACTTACCTTCCCCTTGTTAGCCGTAATAGAAATTTCCAATAAGAAGGTCTCAAGTTTTGAACTTCCATCACGGCCTACAACAACAAAATCTGAATTTAACCATATTCTTATTCTTATTACCATATTTTTCGCCCTATAGGATGCACTTTTTCCCCTCCCAAAATGAAGGGGAAATGTGTGTGCGTCGTATGGGGCGAATACAGGCTTTTGCTGAAGCCTGGAGAGCGAGAGGGGTCGGTGTGCACCGACCCTCTTGCTCTCCAGGCTTCAGGAAGCTCCGCGCCGGGCTCCCGAGGGTTGCGCAGAGCTGTCTGCGCTCCGGGGCTCAGCGCAGATCCGCGCAACCCTCCGGAGCCCCGCGCCGGGCTCCCGAAGCTTGCGCGGAGCTGCCTGCGCTCCCGGGCTCGGTGCAGCTCCGTGCAACCCTCCAGAGCCCGGCACCAAGCTGCGCCGGGCTCCCAAGGGTTCTGCGGAGCTGCCTGCGCTCCCGGGCGCGCAGTCAGAGCGATGCCGAAGCTGCGCTCAGCTTCGGCATCGCTCTGGCTCCCGTTCTGGGGGCTGGGGTCGGGGGGAGCTCGGGCTTCCCCCGCCCCAGCCCCGCGCCTGCACGGGGGGGGGGGGGAATAATTTTTTCCCCCTTTATTCCCCCCCCAAAAAATCTAGGTGCGTCCTATAATAATAATAATAATAAATTTTATTTATATCCCGCCCTCCTCAGCCAAAGCCGGGCTCAGGGCAGCTAACAACAATAAAACAGTACAAAAGTATGGGCCGGAGCGTCCAATAGGGTGAAAAATACGGTATTCTTCTTTCAATTTATATACCACCCTTTATCAAAAGATCCCAGGGTAGTGTACAACACTAAGAACACATTTTACAGAGCCTCCATAATAAAAAAACGTAATAAAGACATAATAAAAAACATAACAGCAGACAGCGTAATAATAAAATAATCATAAAAACATTCCCACCAACCGCAGCTTTAACGTCATACAAAGGAAGGGATGGGTTCAAGTCCAATGGCTGCTCAAGTCAGCAGACAGCTGCGGCTTGATGTTCCGGGAACAGACACTCTTCCCCGAAAGCCTCAGCAAGTCTTCTCGTCTAACAGCATAAAAAAAGCTCTGGCAATCTTGCTATTGGGAAACACAGGAAGGAGGCTACCAACCTTTGTACACGGGGTCAAACTGTCTCCTTGCTTCTAAATATTTTTACTCAGCTGTGATTCATTGATTTAGACACACATCAAGCAGCTTCCAACTAAAGGATGAACACTTACTGCCTGGAAGCAGATGGCTGTGGACACAGCATAGATGATACTGTCGGCATGGGGAAAATAAGGGACCTTTCCGGCTTCGATGCCTTTGAAATACATGGCCTGTTAAATGAAAGAAACACAGAGCAAAGTATTCTTACAAAGGCAAGAGATGCACTGGGGCCGAGAGCGGCCACTGCTTCCACTTTATGCCTTCCTGCTCCAAGAATGACAGGTGTCGAAGGAAGAAAGGACCAATTTCTGCGAGGCAAAGTGGGAAAGCAAAGAAGGAAGGAGAAGGGAGGAGCTAAGAGAGTAGCTTCCTGTTTGAATTCTTCATTTCATTTTTTTGCAAACTTGAAATGTTGCCTATTGTCCGCCAGGTGGCGCCAAACCTAAATCCCAATCTGGCCTAAGGTTTTACAGAGTCTCCAGAATGCTGGGGGAAATGTTCAAATTCTGGGACAAGGAAACATGTACCTAAATGATTTTGCATAGCTTACAATGCATCTCTTTCTAGCATGGAACTGAGTGAGGAAGAGGGGAACTGTACTAAGACGACACAATCAGTTGCAGGAGTGGGAATAAATTCTAGGAGTGATATGGGGCAGTACTTACATGTTTGCAGTTTTGCTACTTACCGTATTTTTCCGTGTATAAGACTATGTTCCCCCCCCCCCCAATTTTTTAAGTTTAAAATCGGGGGTCATCTTCTAAACGGAATGTTTAAAATATTTATTTCTTAATTTGGGGCTCAAAAAATAGGGGTAGTCTTATACATGGGGTGTCTTATAGACGGAAAAATACGGGTATTTCTAGTGTAAACAGCTGCCTAACATCATATTGCATTAGAGGATATTTTAGGTCCAAGCAATATAACTCCCTCCTATTCTTTCTTTCTCCTTCCTTCCTTCCTTCCTTCCTTCCTTCCTTCCTTAGAGCAGTAACTAATCAGCCCTCTAAAAGCTACTTGAAATGGCATGCTCTTTCGAAGCATTTTTTATTTTGCTTTTAAAGAAAACAATGGAAGCTTATTTTTATCCACACCATTTCTCCTCCTAAGGAACACGTCCCTCTTAGGTCGGCTAGTTTTTGGCCGCCATGACGTGGCAATTCATGCAGAGATTCTGCTTTCACCAGCGTCCTAGTACCCTGGGGTAAACTCCGGAGAGAATAAGCAGCCGTCGTGTGGTGCAATATTACACAGCAAGTCTGGAACCAGTAGACCTCATCATTTAGTGAAGTGAAAAGATACAAAAGGGAAAAGCCCAACAGATGCATGAAATGCTATCCTTCCAAGTTGATTCCTGGTGTTATTTCGATCGGAGCTGCTTTTCCTCAAGGGAAAAATTAACATGTGGAAGTAACCTTTTAGCTTAAAATACAAGATATACCAGCTCAGCAACAAAGCAAGCATACAAACACCATTGCACTCAGGTTGCTGTTCTCAAAGAAGCATCCTGCACCTGCTGGTCTGTGCCTTTTCCATCATCATTATTATTATTATTATTATTATTATTATTATTATTATTATTATTATGCTATGTGGGGTATCCTTGTTCTGTTGCCCATCCACACAGAGCTCCGCCTTCCTAAAACGAAAATATGCAGGTCAGATGTGGATTTAACAGACCCACTGGCTCCAAATAGCTACGAAGGAGTAGATGTGCTCCGAATTTTCTTCCTCCCGGTTGTTTTACACACACACACACACACACACACACACACACACACAAAGCCAGAATACGCTTACCTCTACTAGTTTGGAAGCCAGGTACATAGAGATAGTAGTACTTTTGTAGAACATCATTGACATTCCTGCCAAGGATCCTGGATGAACAAGAAACAAATTGGTCACATTTTTTACCATGTACTACATGAAATGAAATTCTAGGGACGCGGGTGGCGCTGTGGGTTAAACCACAGAGCCTAGGACTTGCCGATCAGAAGGTCGGCGGTTCAAATCCCCGCGACGGGGTGAGCTCCCGTTGCTCGGTCCCTGCTCCTGCCAACCTAGCAGTTCGAAAGCACGTCAAAGTGCAAGTAGGTACCGCTCCGGTGGGAAGGTAAACGGCGTTTCCGTGCACTGCTCTGGTTCGCCAGAAGCGGCTTAGTCATGTTGGCCATATGACCCAGAAGCTGTACGCCGGCTCCCTTGGCCAGTAAAGCGAGATGAGCGGCGCAACCCCAGAGTCAGTCACGACTGGACCTAATGCTCAGGGGTCCCTTTACCTTTACATGAAATTCTGTAGCAACAATGATCCAAATACAGTGGTACCTCGGGTTCCATACGCCTCAGGTTACAGACTCCGCTAACCCAGAAATAGTGCTTCAGGTTAAGAACTTTGCTTCAGGATGAGAACAGAAATTGTGCTCTGGCGGCGCGGCAGCAGCGGGAGGCCCCATTAGCTAAAGTGGTGCTTCAGGTTAAGAACAGTTTCAGGTTAAGTACGGACCTCCGGAACGAATTAAGTACTTAACCCGAGGTACCACTGTAAGGGATAACAGAGCTTAGGAGTCCAGCAAGATCAGACCAGAAACCAACACAGTCCACAATCAAAATTCACACAGTGGCCAGGAAGATGACTTTGGATGCCCAAAAGCAGAGCTAAGAGTTTTTTTCTTTGCTGACAGAAGCTGGACGTATTGCAAACATTCTGTCCCTGACACTGTTCATAGCCAATTCTTACAACATCTCAGGAACTGAGCTGATCTCCAACGGAGGCTTCCTCACTGCTCCCATCCCAAAATCGACAAAACCGTATGAAACAAGGAAGCAGAGGGCTGAGGTTTCAAGCCAGCATCTCTCGAGCGGGTAGGCAAATATATGGAAAGTTCTAGCCCTGGGCAAGTGGGCCACTGCCATGGAGAAACATGGAGGTATACCTGCAATAAGTGCATGCAGTTCATCGTCCAGGTTCCGTACCCAGCGCAGGAAGCAGCTTGTACCCTGTGTTTTGAGGATAATCACATCAACCTGGTTAGAGCTATAATCTAGTAACAAAGCACTCAATTATATCTTAAAAATTTAATCAAGTCAACTTAAACCCTCTGATTACGGCTCTGGCTCTTGATGAACACTTAGTAGCTGCTCAGCATGATGATTTATAAAGTAATCTCAACATGGTATTTGGAGATAGACTAGAAGGTCAGTCTGAAACAAGGACAAAGCCTCAGCCAAATCTGAAATTGTTCATATATACACAGCCTCTTTGTTTTTCAAAATATCATTTCCTTCCTTTCTATACATTTCACCCAAACTGCACCTCACCTGAGTCAATATACTACTTGGCTGCTTGAAAACTGCCAATATGAAGGAATTGCTTCCAGACATTCAGTACATTATTTGGAATGGGGTGGTAAGAATTCTGGAGTGTACTGCTTCGGGGGGGGGGTTCATATTAATGCTAGTGGAAAAAGCTCTCTGCATGTAGTAAACTGGTGCTTTAAGGAAAGAGACTCCTCTCTCTGATGTGCTAGCTTCATATACGCAGGGAGCTAATTACATGGGAGAGCATTGAAAAGTAAGAAATCCCCTGCCTTCCAATCTACAGACTTGAAGAGTACAATTCAGAATTCTGCCGCTAGCACTTTTAGGGTCCTAGAAGGTATGTAAGAGAGCCTAGAGCAAAAGGCTTTCTAGAGGAAAAGTTCCAAAGTGCATTGCATTGGCAATACCTATTTGGTGTTTCGCAACTTTCTGACTAGTTGCAGGACCTTAGCCAGACCTAGCAGAGTACACGCAGAATCCACGGAAGTGATTGGCAACTTGGCTGCAGACAGGATAGACGAAGCAGGAACCAGGAACTTGTAGTTAGGTGTTTATTATATACAGTGGACTATTCACAGGAACAGAACACGGATCTTATGCTAGCTCTCTCTGACACGACTCACAACTCCTACACTCACTGACACACTGAACTCACGAACTCACAGTTGGTAGGCCATTAATTATCACTCCCTTGAGAGAGCTTGACCAATCAGGGAGCGGTCTCCATGTCTCTGTTATCATCAGGCAGACTTACTCCTTCAGAGTGCCTTCTGGCTGTCTGCCAAACCTTAAGGGACTCTGTGTGAGTAGCTGCACGTACACAGTTTCCCAACACATTGGCCTTAGAAAGAGTGAGCATACAGGTAAACCTGAAAATTTGCTTGGCTATAGCGTCATTTATATATAGCCTCGAGTGGTGTGGTTGCTCTCAGAGAGTTGCTCAAGAGTAGAACGATGCAGTCTGCCATAATCAAATGAGTAGAATATCAGTATAGAACCCGGAGCAGTGTAGGAGAAATCATGAAGGCAGAAACCACACCTCTCCAAGCAGCAGGTGAATGGTGCTGTGTTGCACTAATAAATGAAGATTTCTCTCTGTCTTGCAAATAAGATATGTGTCACGCCTTTCAGACTCCCAGTTCATTGACGCATTCTAAAACTGCTCATCACATTGATTCCCTCACCTCTTTTCAAGCTAAGCTTGTTTCCTTTTTGTTTGTTTTTTCCCTTTTAAGTTACAAAACAATGTTGCCTGGCAGTGGTTACAAAATGGGCAAAGAACCAGAAATCAAGGGGATTCTCCCCACTTGCGACCAAATGAGCCAATATTCTATTAACGCTCAATAAAAATGCTCCCCATTTAGTAAAAAACACACCCACCCCACAATTCAATTGCTGATTAGTGCCCTTAATGCAATTTATTTTTTAAAGAAAAAAGATGGTCCACATGAATGTGTGGTATGTTATGTGGCTCAGTCCTTAGAATGATACAGATGCGCGTTAAATATTTCTGCTGCTGCAAAAGAGCAACTTTAGGATAATTAAATTCCAACTTTTTAACTTTTCAGCACTTTAGAAACTTACTTTGTATATACTGACAAATGACCCCAGAAAAGCCCCGAGCTGGAAATTTTCTTTGTTGTAGAGGAGCGAGAGCAGCCGGGAAGGTTTTGTAAACAGATGCCGGAATGCTGACGGGATCCGAAGGCAACACTGGATCAAGTAACCAACGCTAAACATCCTAATGAAGCCCTAGAGAAGATATTAAGAACGTGACATTTAGAGAGAGGGAGGCAGAGCAAATGAAAGAAAAACAGCCGTGTCAGGAACTTCACAGATAAATCTCACTTATAAAACAAAACCTTGGGAAGGTATGCTGTGCAAACATTCACAGAAACATAACCTTGGAACTTACAATCAAAAGATCCATCTAGTTTCTTCCTTTTTTTCCATTCCCAAGGGTTTCAGAGTGTAAAATTTCTCCCTATGGGTAGTATTCAAACTAAGTTGTGCTCAGAGTAGACCCATTAGAAGTAAGGAACCCAACATGACCATGTTCATTAATTTCAGTGGGTCTACTCTGAGTGAAATTTAACTGAATACCAACCATAGCTTATTACATTTTTACCCAACCCTTCATCCAAGGAGCTTGGGGGTCACCTTCATTTTCATATAAACCCTGTAGGGAAGGCTAGGCTGAGGGATGGTAAACGGTGAAAGTCATGGGTCCAACCCCCAAACGGGGCCACCTGAATATTCCTGCCCTGCTGGGGGTTGGACTAGATGACCCTCACGGCCCCTTCCAACTCTACAATTCAATGATTCCGTATCTGAAGGGCACCCAGTGACCTCTGTGGCTGCATCCACCCTTTGCCAGACCAACAAATCAATCATTATGCCCCACTGGCTCTCTGTAGACATTCAACCACCTGCTCCAGGAGGACTGAGCCTGATTCTCTGCCCAACCCAAAATTCTCTGCGTCGAGTGGGCCCTTAGACCAAGGGTAGACCACCCACTCCTTTGCGCATTCCCTTTGGTGTAACATGGCAGCTGTTCGCGTCTTGTGTCAGCTGATGGCCCTTGAAAGACTGAAAACAACCAAAACAACGCAGGGCAAGAAACAGAGAATTACTCCTCCAACGTCGTAGTGGCAGTAGGAGCATCCGAGGCCTGGAAGCTTGCTGGGGGAAGGGGGGACTTATTATCATTTCTCATTTTCCAGTGCTACCTGCATCTGCAATAAACATGAGCAACAGTTCAGTGAAGAAGGCAGGTGAAGGGCATAACACCTGCTTGTTCCAACAGCTATTTCCAGGCTAGGAGATTCAGCTGCAGAATGGGAGTCAGGACATCGGAGCTTTTTTCCCTAGAAAAATAGGTGCTCGTCGTGAAGTTACAGTTAGTGCCACACTTTTTAACAACAAAGAAGAGGTGCTGGTGCTGCGTACCTTTGAGCACTCCTTGGGGAGAAAAACCCCACTGTACCAAGATCTATGGGGAAGGCATGGGCAGGAACCTTTTTCAGAATGAGGGCCGCGTGCTCATCTCGGCAACCTTTGTGGGGGGGCACATGTCTCTAGTGGAGGGGGGCAGAGGTAAAAGCAGGCGGAGCAATGAATGTATTTCCCCCCAGCTTTGTGCAGTAGAATAGTTTCCTACCCACACCCCTTCTCTTTCCTCAAACCAGGCAAGCAAGAGGCATTATCAGAGTTCAAAACACATCCCAGCCATGCAAAAATACTCAAGGAGGAGAACTAGGGCTGGTGAGGGGCAGTGTTCAAAATTCCCTGGGTGCCAGGCATGTCCTGCCACTGGTGCAGATCCAATTGCAACTGTGTGGAAATTTCCGAGCGCCAGGTTGGCAGCTGACACCTCCTTTGAGTCAGCTGACTCGTGCAGAGCCAAAGACGAGCGTCTTGTGCTTCTGTGCTGCTGTGTGACTCATGGACCCCTTGCTGGGCATCTTAGTCCTCCATCATCACATCAAGCAAAGTAAGTGGAGGGCTGAGTACAGATCTATTGCGCTGCAGCCTTTCCATAGGTCACCCTAATGGAACTCGCAGGCCACAGTTTGAAGATTTCCAGTTAATACCATTTCCACTGTGTGTGTTTCTCCTCCTTGCATACTGGGGCAAGTGAACTGTTGTAAGAGCAGGCTACAGTCAAGCAATGTAGCTGAGATAATAGAATCATAGAATTTCATCATTGGAAGGGACCACGAGGGTCATCTAGTCCAACCCCCTGGCAAACAGACATACTGTTGTGGTGCCAGCAGGGCCAGATTTAGATTTGATGAGGCCCTAAGCTACTGAAGGTAATGGGGCCTTTATATGTCCAGCTGTCCTTTGTCAACAACAAATTGTTGCTGTTTTTTGTGTTGAATATATGCTATATGGTACTTTATGGACCTAATAGGTATCTAAAGCCATTTGCACATAACAAAACATGTATTTTATCAAAGTAATTGTTGAACTTATCTTATATTTTGGAAATGTCCATCCAGGTTTTTTTCCTTTAGGTTTTTTTGGGGGGGCCCAAGAGAGTGGAGCCCTAAGCTATAGCTTGTTTAGCTTATAAGTAAATCCAGCATCTCACCCATATACACCTTTGCCCTGCCCTGGTTAACTCTTCTTTGTTTCATTATTTTTGGAATATATTCTATGCCACATCAAAAACTTCAGTTAGTAGCTTGAGTCTGAATACTGCAAATGAATAAGCACACATGTCTCCCTCCCTTCTTTTTTCACTTAATTTGAAGGCAGGCTCCCCACAAAAAGTTCAGGAATGTTAACTTAATGGAGAAAAGAAACATTCAGATGTGCAATATATTTATTTTTCTCCTTAAATCCATGCCAATGGTACAGAAAAGGAAACAATGAGATGGGGAAAGCCTTATGCCTCGTGCTCAAACATCTGGAAGACTGTGGGAACTCTGAAAACAAAGATCTTCCTGAAAACACAAGCACTAGACAGCTATATTCAATCTCCAGAGTATTCAATTCCTGGGTTCTTTCAACAACCACTCTGCAAGGTGTCTTGCGAAGCATGCACTAAAGCAAAAGGAAATCCACGTACTGAACCGTTAAAGCTGCTCAGCCAATGTTAACAATATGTGGTTTGTTTCCATGGGCAGTCGACCTTCAGGGTGTATTAGTATAGAAGCTAAGAACATGGGGGGGGGGGGAATCCTGCTGAATCAGACCAAGGCCCCATCTAGTCCAGCTTCTCAACAGCGGCCTGCCAGAAAGTTCTGCAAAGCCCACAGGCAAGAGCGGGAAGGTTGCTTGTCCTCAGCATCCAGAATTAAGAACACTCAAATGCCAACCATCATGGCAAATAGCAACTGAGAGTCACACCCTCCATGGATTTGTCTATCCTCCCTTGCAAGGCACCACCACGTATTAGGAGTGGATTCCCTGCGTTAATTACATATTGAGTAATCTCTCCTAAATGTACTGCCAGTTAATTTTAGACCAGCCTCTGGGTGCAGTGGGAAGGCAGGACGAGGGCTAATAAATGAGTCTGAATCCTGGCAAGATAGAAGCTATGTGGGTGAATGGTTCTTGGATCCAGAAAGCAGTTGCCTGCCCTGGATGGGGCTGCACTCTCCCAGAAGGAGCACGTGTATATTCTGGGTGTGCTCTGGGAACCAGCTCCATCACTGGAGGCATACTTTTTTGAAAGCATTCCCACAGCAAAGTCTTCCAGCTGACACATCGGGGAGCAGGCTAACCCACAGTGATACAATTGAGACAAGGGCTGCATCACAGCTCACCCTCCTCCCAAAGAAATTTGAACTTAGTGCTGGCAGGCACACCACCTTCTGAGCACAATTTTAGTTGGGACAACTCTGTTTCGCAATAAACTGCAGCCATCCAGGTTGAGAGCTTGTGAATGGGGGCTCAAATACAACAAAATCCATTTTATGGTGTTCGATATTGTGCCAATAGCTATAATTCTAATTCATGCATCAAATGAAAGATTTCACAGGTGCAGAAAGTCTACCGTGAGATAAAAGAGAAGAATAATTTTAACCAACTTTTATGGCCCGATATGCCCTCTCTGCTAAGGATTACTCTGTGAAACAGGTTTTCGAAAAATGATTAAATGCTTCAAAGACCTCTTCCATGTATACTCTTGCAAATATCACCACGCAGATGAATCCTGTTCAACAGACATATTTTAAAAAACCTGACTCCATTTCTCACACTGAAACTCAGTACTAGGTAAATATTCAAAACAGAGAATAACAAATCAGATTGCTGCAGGTGCAACACATTCATAAATGAGGCTGGGGTGACTTACTGCTTACTCGTTTTATTGGCTAATTTTCTCCTATGTATCTTGCTCCCCTAGCCAACCTATAAACTCATGGCACTTTCAGTACAGGTTGTAGTCATAACAAAGATGATATCAGCATGGATCATGAGATCTAAACATTGCCTGTTTCTTATTCGGCACCAACTTTTCTACATGTATGGTTACTCTTTTTCTCTTTCTTCCAAGGTTTATTCCTTGTTCCCTTTCTTAACCTTTACAAAACAGGCTCTTGCGATACTCCATTTGTTCCACAAGTTAAGCTTCCATACAGATTAATTGTATGTCACCTTACCAGCGGTTTGGTACAGGGATAAGGTTACCTCTAAGTGCCACAGTGGTTACTAAACCAGTCTGAGAATGCTCACAGCTTGTCCCGCGAATTATTCTCACCACAGGGATCAACATCCCCTTAGTACAATTCCCACCCACCTCTTCCTGCAAAACTGACTTCGTGCGTTGGAGCCATTACGTAAAAGCGCCCTTGCCTCCAACCATTGTTTGCCATTATTATCATTGTTATTGTTATTTTACTGGAGGGGGAAGGAAATTTGCTACATCTTTGCCCTTGTTCACGCGGCAAATTCAGCGTAAACAGAGATGGGTCAGTGGGAAACTTGTGATGGAACTTCTGTTTCCTATCACAAAAGGAACACACAGACCAGCCCTCCATCTTCTTTGAGGCTCTCTATAAACATTCAAAGTTACTTGCACACCAGTAAAATGTCAAGAGGGAAGCAAAGATAAACCTCTGTATCACAGGTAGCCCTCCAGAGGTTTTGGGTTACAGCTGCCATCACACTTGACCATTGGCCATGCTAGCTTGGGCTGGAAGGCACCACAATGAATACCCCTGCTATATATTCATTTTTTTATTATTATTCCCTGAGTGAACATCCCACTTTTCTAGACTAGGCTCTTGAAATGTCTAATG